GCATGCATGCACATGCTCCCGGCATGAGTTTTAAGCCACCAGGTCTGGGACGTGAACCGTGGTTGACTACGTGGGAGTCCAGCGACATAGCCATTACGCTAACTGCTGGTCCTGAGAGTGATCCCTTTAACAAGAAGGCATGAAATGCCTTTCTGGGTCAACATGTTTACAGTAATCAGATCTGAGTTGTCTGTTTCAGAGTACAGGGCAGCTACTACCTGAAGTGTACGTGTTTCCTTGAAAGAGTATTTTCACAATGATTTCAGTAGACATTTCCTAAAATATTGTCTGGCAATATGAATGTGCCAAAAGTCTTCAAATGTTGATACTCCTTGGCCCTACATTCTAGTTCTATGAATTTATCTAATATAAAACAGAGCTGTCAGCAATGATATGTGGATAAGTATGTTTACCACAGCTTTATTTATAAGAGTGAAGTACTGGGGAACCAGCAGTTAGCGTAATGGCTATGTTGCTGGACTCCCATGTAGTCGACCGCGGTTCGCGTCCCGGACCTGGTGACTTAAAACTCACACCAGGTGTGTGTGTGTGCATGCCCAAGATCCCAAGAGGAGAATAGAAAAAAAAGAGTGAAGTACTGGAAACAACCTGATTTTATTCATTTATTCATTTATTTTGGAGAGATTTTTATTATAGGGCGCGTGCGCTCGCCAGAAACACAGAGACAGAGACAGAAAGCAAGAAATCACCCCCAGGGGGGATGGCCATGTCACAATCCCTTCTCCTCCATTCTCCTCTCGGGATCTTGGGCACGCACGCACATGCGCCCGGCATGAGTTTAAGCCACAGGGTTCAGGACTCAAACCACAGTCAGCTACATGGGTGTCCAGTAACATAGCCATTACGCCAACTGCTGGTCCCAACAACCTGATTTTCTGAGAAGGGGAAATTAGTTAATAATGGTCATCTACTGATATATATTGCCATGTAATCATAAAAGTCAGTTTCTTGGTGCCTGTGGAAAATGATGCTGCTGTGACATAACGTGAGAATATCATTAAATGCAACTAATACCTAGCATACTTGAAATAAAAAATTAAATATTTAGGCATTAAAAAAGCACTGGAAAGGACCAGCAGATGGCAATGGTAGCTGAGGTGCTGGACTGCCACATGGCTGACCACAGTTCAAATCACAGATTTGGTTGCTTGAAAATCATGTTGGGTTGGGACCAGCAGTTAGCATAATGGCTATGTCATTGGACTCCCACGTAGTCGACCGCGGTTCGTGTCCCAGACCTGGTGGCTTAAAACTCACGCCGGGCGCGTGTGCGTGTGTGCCCAAGATCCCGAGAGGAGAATGGAGGAGAAGGGATTGCGGCGTGACCATCCCCCCTGGGGGGTGATTTCTCGCTTTCTATCTCTCTGTCTCTCTCTGTCTTTCTGGCGAGTGCACGCACCCTATAGCAAAAACCTCTCCAAAAAAAAAAGGAAATCATGTTGGGTGCATGTGCATGTGTGCCCAAAATCCTGAGAGGGAACTGGAGAAGGGATTGTGGCATGGCCAACCCTCTCAGGGTGCTTCCTCACTTTCCTTCTCTCTGTCCCTCTCTAGCAAGTGCACATGCCATATGGCAAATAACTAAATAAACAAACAAACAAATGGACTAGAAGAAACTCCACCAGAATTTAATACTGTTTAGCTGTGGCAGTGAGATTAGGGGTGCAAATCCAACCCAAAAAGATGGTGAAAGAAATAATGAAGAGCAGGAAAAAATGAAATAGAAAATAAACAGAGATGACAAAGGTAAAATAAATTCTTTGATAAGATTAATAAGAACAAAAACCTTGCAAAGCTCATCAAGAAAATAGAGAAGAAATCATTTATCAGAAGTCAGTAGAGATCCTAGAGATAATAAAAAGGTTATAAGAGGGTATTATCAACAATTTTACACCAATAAATTTAACAAATTCCTCAAAAAACATAAATTACCAAAAATGACAAGAGAAACTAAAAATATAAACATTCATATACCTACCAAAGAACTTAAACCCATTATTGAAAATTCTCTTCTCCTGTCCCCAAGTGTGTGTGCATGCATGCACACACACACACACACACAAAGAGAGAGATAGAGAGAGAGAGATAGATAGAGAGAGAGAGAGAAGCCTGATACTTTCATGGTACAATTTTCAAACATTCTTTGAAGGAATAAAGCTAATCTCATTTAACACAGATTATAGAAAATTATAAACTCATTTTATAAGTCTAGCATAACCATGATATCAAAATCTGACAAGAAATTTATCATCTCTTTCATCAACAGAAATATAAAAATTCTAAACAAAACAGCAAGTCAAATAGAGAAATGTATAAAAAGGATAAAACTCAAGGCCATTCAAGCATAAAATTCTTGGGGCCAGCAGGTAGTGTAGTGGTGAAGATGCTGAACTCCCACATAACCAACCATGGTTCAAGTCTCGGACACAGAAGCTTGAAACTCATATCAGGCATGTGTGTGTACATGCCCAAAATCTGGACAAGAAAATGGAAGACAAGGGATTGTGGCATGGGCATCTCCCCTCAGGGATGATTTCTCACTTCCCCACTCTCTGTCTCTCTCCAGCAAATGCATGCAACCTATGGCAATAAACCAAATAAATAAATAAAACTCCTAGCAAAAATGGAATAGAAGGGAGTTTCCTTAATCTTATGAAGAATAATCTACAAAAACCTTACAGCCATACTAAAAATACTAAAAAGCTTTCCCTTTAAAATTGAGACTGAGACAAGGATGTCTGCTATCTTCACTTCTATTGAAATATTGTAAAGATGTCTCTTCTCCCCAAATTGATATGTAGGCTTAATGCAAGGTGAAACAGAGTTGAATTGAAAAGATAAGGCATTCCAAAGTAGATCCACAAACGTGAATTATGACTGATTCTTCATCACCTGCAGAATTAAAATTACCCTTTCCTTTTATATCTGACCACTGGCAGCAAAGCTCCACGTATGTACCATGACTAGGGCTATAATCATGTCACTGACTAGCAGATTCTCCATCACTGTTTGCCTCAAGGAAAGGGGGAAAACACCTGTATTTAATTCACAGAGCATGAGGCAACATGTAATGGGACCTTGACCCAAGCAACTACACACTTGTGAGAGATATTTAGAGCTTAAAGTTAGAACAGCATCTCTTTCTCTCTCTCTTGTATTTGCAATAGGGTGTGTGCACTTGCCAGAGAGATATGGGGTGGGGAGAGAGTGGGAGGAGTGAAAAATAATGCCTCCAGAGGGGATGGCCATGCCATAATCCCTTCTCCTCCATTCTCTTGGGATCTGGGTATGCACATGTTCCTGGGTCTGGGACTTCAAACCACGCAGTCAGCCATGTGGGATCCAGCTGCCTTAACCACCATCCCACTGGCTGACCCAAGAATCACAACACTTATACACAAATCTCAAAGAATATAACACAACCTGGCCTGAATCCTGCCACCAGCACAGCAGAAAAAAATGGTGCCACCTACCTGTAGTGCAGGAAGACGGCTTTGCTGGTTGGGAATTACTTTTAATGAGATCATTCCTTTTGTTTCTTTCTATTAAAAAAGAAAGAGCAAATAAAATGGTAAGTAAAATTAACTTGGATAATTTTGGGTTTCATAGTAATTTTCACCCTTCAGGTCCCATGTTTGGGATGTAAGGTCCCCCAGCAGCCACCTTTATATTTTGTAGGAGAATTTTTTTTTTTTTTTTTTTTTGTTTTTTTTTTTTTTTTTTTTTTGAGAAAGAGACTTTTGCTATAGGGCAAATGCATGTGCTGAAGAGAGACAGACAGAAAGCGAGAAATTACACCTCCCCCCCATCCAGAGGGGATGACCATGCCACAATCCCTTCTTCTTCATTCTCCTTTCAGGATTTTTGGCACACATGCACATGGGCCCCATGTGAGTTTTAAGCTGCCAGGTTCCGGGCTTGGACCGTGGTTGACTACATGGGAGTTCAGCAATGTAACCATTACACTCACTATCTGCTGGTCCTGACAATCCTTTCTTTAATACAAAAGTGTCATATGCCCCATAAGCCAGCATAACAATGTAAAGACATACCAAAAATAACAAAGAAAAAGTTAACTTGCCTGCTTTTTCATTCCTGACTCCAAAAGGTATGAACTCTGGCATATGTACATCTCTGCCATTTTTCACACCAGTAAAAACATTATGAATATTTATATACATACTTATGTATTTTTTAATTGCCAGAGGATGCATGTGCTCACAAGAGAAAGAAAAGACAGAGACAGAGAGAGAGAGATCACCTCCCAATGTGGTCTGGTCACCCCACATTCCCTTCTCCTCCATTTCTCCATCCTGAAAGCATGCCAAGTGCATATGCACATGCACACACACACACACACACACACACACACCTGGCATTTTCTAAGCCACCGGGGTCAGGATTGGAACCATGGTCAACATGTGGGATTTGGCTCCTTTAACCATCAGGCTAAAGGGCTCATCTTGTATATTTTTGTTGTTTGTTTTTCACAAAGTGGGATTATACTATATATATTACTCTATAACTTACTTTATTTTATTTAACATTACTTTATACACATACCTCTCAGTCAATACATGAAGAGCTCACTAATTCCTTTTTGTTGTTGGTCTTTGATATTCTATATTTTCATTCATCCTTTTTAAAGGTAATAGAACATTCCACACTATGGTTGTATCATAGTCTATTTGCACCCCCTCCATTTATGGACATGCAGACTGCTACCAGTCGTTTTTTTGGTGTGTGCAGCAGACAATGAACATACATTCTCAGATATCTGTGTTCTGATTTTTGTAGAAAAGAATTCCATGATAGAACTGTACAGTGAAATGGTATGGACATTTTGAGTTTTGTTTTTTTTTTCTTAAAGAAAGCTGCCAGATCCAGGACTTGGATTGCAGTCAAGACCATGTGGGAATCCAGCACCTTAATCACAACACCACCTGCCAACCCCAACGTTTTGAGTTTTAATAGCTATCTTCATTAGTTTCCAAAAGACTAACAATTCCACTCTTACCAAGAGTATACAAGGACCCCTTTCCTTCAAATTCTTGCCAGAGTTTCATGCTAATAATATTCTTTTTAAATTTCTGCCAATCTGAAGGGTGAAAAGTATTTAATGGTTGTTTTACTTTTTTATTTCCTTACCATAACCGAAAAAGTAATCTTTTCTTCCCTTCTCTTTTCCTCCCTCCCTCCTTTCCTTCCTTCCAACTAACAAATAAAAATTATATGTGCCATGTACATGATGTTTTGAAGTATGTATACATTGTGGAATGACTAAATCAAGCTAATTAACATATGCATGACCTCACATACTTATTTTCTGTGGTGAGAACATTAAAATCTACTCTTAGATTCAAGAATACAATCCATTGCTATTAACTATAGTCTACATGTTGTACAATAGCTCTCCTGAATTTATTTTTGCCTAACTGGAGTTCCCTACCCTTTGACAAATATCTCCCCAACCCCTGCTCTAGTCTCTAGTAACCACATTCTACTCTCTACTTCTATAAGTTTGACTTTTACACACTTCACATATAAATAAGATCATATGGTATTCTGTGTGTGTGTGTGTGTGTATGTGTCTGTGTCTCGCTTATTTCACTTAACAAATGTCTTCCCAGTTCATCCATATTTACCCAAATGGCAAGATTCCTTCTTTTTCATGGCCACATAGTATTTCATTGTCTATATGTACATACCACAATTTATCTATCCATCTATATCTTGGCTACTATGACTAAAGAAAAAGTAACTTTTCAAAAGCTTTTTCTTATTTATTTTGTCCTGTTTTCTATTTGGTTGTTTGTATTTTTATAATAAAACTTAGAAGTTCTTTAGAATTATTAATCCTTTATCTATTATATGCATGGCAATTTTTTTTTTTAGATTTTTGCCACAGAACATGTGAGAGAGAAAGAGAGACAGTGAGAGGGAAAGCAAGAAATCACTCCCTGGAGGGGGGGTTGATGGCCACAGTGCAGTCCCTTCTCCATTTTCTTCCTGGGATTTTGGGCATGCATGCACATGTGCCTGGTGTAATTTTCAAGCCACATGATCCAAGAATTGAACCACAGTTGACCATGTGGGAGTCTAACACCTTAACCACCAAGTCACCTGCTAGCCCCTGTATGACAAATATTTTTAAATGTATATTGTTGGGACCAACAGATAGTGTAATGGTTATGTTTGCTTTCTGTCTCTCTGGAGAGTGTACATGCTTCATAGCAGAAATCTCTCTCTCTCTCAAAAAAAAGGTATATTGTTGGGACCAGCAGATGGTGTAAAAAATGGTTATGTTGCTGGACTCCCATGTAGTCAACTATGGTTTGAGTCCCAGATCCAGTGGCTTAAAATTCACACCAGGCATGTGTGCATGTGTGCCCAAGATCTCAAGAGAAGAATGGAGGAGAAGGGATTGTGGCATAGCCATTCCCCCAGGGGGTGATTTTTCCTTTCTATCTCTCTGTCTCTCTAGCAAGTGCACACACACTATAGCAAAAATCTCTCTCAAAAAAAAAAAAAAAAAGAAAGAAAGTATATCGTTTATGGTATCTTTTGCCCTGTAACACAAATTCAGGATCTGAATTGGTCTTCCAGGTAGCTCTAGCACTGCAGAGCAGCACCCTACTGCTTGTGCCACCATGGCTAGGACTGTTTTTTCCTAATATATACATTAATGCTATGAATTTCTCATTGGTACTGCATTAGTGGTATTCCACAAATTTTGAATGTTGCTTTAATTTTTATTCACTTAAAGACATTTTCTAATTTTCCTTGTGATTTATTTTGTGACCCATGAGTTATATAGAAACGTGTTAAGTTTCAAACATTTAGGATTTTCAGATACCTGTTTTTGACTCCTAATTTAATTTCATTGTGGTCAGAGAGCAAGCTTTGTATGATGAACCCTTCGAAGTCTGTTGAAATCTGTTTTATGGCCTAGCATATGGTCTATCCTAGAGTATGTCTTCTATATCCTCATTGACTTTTTGGTTACTTGTTAAGAGAGGGGTACTAAAATCTAGGAGTATAATTGTGGATTTCTTTATCTCCTTGCAGTGCTACAAGTTTTTGTTTCAAGTATTTTGTTGTTAGGTATCTGAACATTTAGGATTTGGGCTGTTCCGAGAGAGAGAGAACCTCACCATGTGGATTGGCCTCACAGTGTATCATGTTTTACCACTGCACCACCATCTGGCTACTTGAGTGTAGACTTTTGATTAAAGCAAATCTCAGGTGGATCCTTGACTAGCTACGTGACTAGCTGCCAGGTCCGGGACTCGAACCGTGGTCGGCCATGTGGGAGTTCAGTGCCCTTAACCACCACACCACCTGCTGACCCTGAAGCAGTGGGAATATAAATGGCCTCATTTCTCCCTCTTTCCCACCTTCTTTTCATTTATAACATCCCATTCACTCTTCATAATGAGTTTGTGAGGTGAGAACGGGGATTACTATCTTCATTTTTTTAATAATTATTTTATTTCATTTAATTTATTCATTCATTTCTCTTTTTTTGACGAGAGAGAGAGAAAGAAAGTGAGAAAGCAAGCCACCAGGTCTGGGACTCCAACTGTGGTCAGTCATGTGGGAGTGTCCAGCACCTTAACCAGCATGCCACCTGCTGGTGCCACTATTTTCATTTTATAGAGAAAGAAACACAAACTTATAGAAGCTAATCCACCTGCTCCATTATCTCAGAACTGAATAAAGTAGAGAGGGGATTCAGAGGTGCTAATAAAGACCAACAGTCTTCCCATTATACCAGCCTGATGCTCTGGGTTATCTGTCCTGCTTTAAAATGTTAATAATGAAAGCAAAGAATTGTCACTTCTTCCCTAGAATCAAGACTGGCAGTGGTAAGAGCCTTCTCAATAATGTACAAAAATTTTGACAGAAAAATGAGGTACACTGATACCAGTGTGGATCAGTACTTCATGAAGACTATGGTAGATCTTCATCTAATGTAGAAAATACTCACCATTGCCTTCTGCAGCTGATCTACGGAGTGATTAGTCACATTTGTGCCATTGATTTCTAGGATCTCATCCCCCACATGAAGGGAGCCTTGTCTATGGATCATGCCACCATGAAGAAGAGATGTTTCGTGTCATCTCGTCTATTGAGATGAAGTGGTACTTCTTCCCATCTTCCTCACTCTTCCTTGATGGTCGTGTTGTATATGGGGCAGGGTACACAAACTTCTCTGGATTCTGGCTGAGCAGGGCATTCTTGATGTGGCTGCGACCCACCCCACTGGCTCCGATCAGCACCAGGGTCTTCCTTTTGAATGCAGGGAGCTGGACAACTTCCTCATAGGAAATGACATCCAACTGGTCAAAAATCGAGCTGTGCTTGGCCAGGTACTTGTCTTTGTACTTCTTCTTTCTGAAGGGACTGCAGCTTGGGGCTTCACTTGGAGCAGACTGAACCACACTTGCCACTTGTCACTCCTGCAGTTCGGGGGAGGGGATCAGTCCTGCTGACTCCTTGGAGGAGCCTTCCACCAGTCCCTGCCACCAGTTGCTGTCATCCTTGTTGATGATCTGAATAAGGTCCCCAGTAGCGAACTTCAGCCCTGCCTCCTTACAAGGGATCAGGCTGTCCTTTTGGGGATCATAGTCAAATTGCACTCTCATGAACATCAGTAGTGCAGGAAGACAGCTTTGCTGGTTGGGAATTACTTTTATTGAGATCATTCCTTTTGTTTCTTTCATTGCCTTCTGCAGCTGATCTACGGAGTGATTAGTCACATTTGTGCCATTGATTTCTAGGATCTCATCCCCCACATGAAGGGAGCCTTGTCTATGGATCATGCCACCATGAAGAATTCTGAAAGAGTAAATGTTCTAATAGGAGCTGTAACTATAATGCAAGATATCACAGAAGAGAAACCATAATCTAGAGCTTTTTATGAAATACATCATGTAAAATACTCACTATTAAAAGCAATCAACTATAAGAGATGGGAATCAAGGCGAGTGCTTGAAAACTTAAGACTATCTCATCCTCCAACAGCAGAATAAAAAGCACCTTGCCATCAAATTCCTGGAACTAGAGGGGCTACTGATCCCAGGAGACCATGATACACACGTGAATACTAAAGAGAATGGCAAAGCAAAGAACTCAGGCCTCCTCATTCACCAGCTACTTCAGTATTTCTGTGTTGTTCAGCTGAAATTCCAAAATGCTCTCAAACAGTAAAGTTAATCGATGTTTATTGGTTACCAATATTTGTGTCACCATGGATTTAAAAAAGGGAGATGGCAGCAGATGGTGTACTAGTTATGCCACTGGACTCCCACATAGCTGACCGCAGTTCAAGTCCCAGACCCAGTGGCTTGAAACTCATGCTGGGTGCATGTGTGTGCATGCCCAAGATCCTGGGAGGAGAATGGAGAAGGGACTGGGTCATAGCCATCCTCCCCAGGGTGATTTCTCACTTTCCATCTCATTGTCTCTGTCTCTCACTCTGGTGAGTTCACATGCTCTAAGGCAAAAAATAAAAAAGGCCTTAAACTAAACATAAAAGGGTAGGAGTTAGGGCTGGCAGGTTGTGTGGTGGTTAAGGGTACTGGATTCCCATATGACAGACTGTAGTTTGAGTCCCAGAACTGGTGGCTTGCTTTCTCACTTCCCCCTCCCTCTCACTCTTGCTCTGTCCCTTTCTGGTCAAATTTAAATAAATAAATAAATAAAGTTTAATACAATAATTCTTTAAAAAAAAGTTAGGAGTGGGAACCAGCAGTTAGCGTAATGGCTATGTCGCTGGACTCCCACGCAGTCAACTGCGGTTCGTGTCCTGGACCCGGTGGCTTAAAACTCACGCCGGGCGCATGTGCGTGCGTGCCCAAGATCCCAGGAGGAGAATGGAGGAGAAGGGATTGCAGTGTGACCATCCCCCCTGGGGGGTGATTTCTCGCTTTCTGTCTCTCTGTCTCTGTCTGGCGAGTGCCTGTAGCAAAAACCTCTCCAAAAAAAAAAAAAGTTAGGAGTTAATAGGGTAGGAAAACTACCTCTTTGTGAATAGCCATAACCTCAACACTAGGAAAAGTCCCAGGTCAGGCTACAAGTAGAGTATGAATCAGGCTACTGTCAGCTGCTTAAAATGGTGTTTTTTTCTTTCTAGGTTTTTGCCATAGGGTGGTGTACTCGCTCAAGACAGAAAGAGTGAATGTGAGAACCTTCTCCTCAGTCTCCTCTTGTGATTTTGGAAACACACACACATGCACCTGGCATAATTTTCAGGCTGCAGGGTCCAGGACTTGAACCATGGTCAGCCATATGGGATTTCAACACCTTAACCACCACTCTACCTGCTGGCCCCAAAATGGAATGTATTTTAATGTGGCATTCTGTTCTCTTGTCACTCACCACAATAGGTTTTACCACATGATGCATTGAAAACTGATGGCACTTTAACAGTAAGGAAACAACACAAGGTCTTCAAAAAGTCTGTGGAAAATGCATATCCTAAAAAATTTATACATGGATTTTGAAACAATTTTGCATTGAAACAAACTCATTCTTTAATTCCATTTCTTCTACCACCTTTTCAAAATCCCCTCATACAACAAACAGTTAAATATAATTATATATTTGCCTGTTTTCTCAGTTAAACTGTGAGCTCTAGGAGTAGAGATGATCTGCTCTCTTCATTGCTGTATATTCAAAGTCAAATTGCTCAATATAAATGAACAGAGAAAAATATCAGCACAAATAAATGT